CCAGCTTTGCGTCTCCCCTACTGTCCACTCGCTGATCAGATCTCCCAGGTTTTATCTGCCTGTCCTCACCCCTCTCTCCACGAGAGGAGCCCCTCTGCTCCTCTCTCCTGTGTGTCCCAAACTTGTCCTCTCTCCCACCTCCATTCTGCCCTCTTATCCAGCCCACAGCGCAACAGGCTGGGTCCTGCCCCTCTCCTGCTGGTGTCTGGACGTTGTTCCCAAAGATATGACAGGGATAAATATCTGGAACGAAGTCCAGAGTCCTGGGTGCTGGGAAGGAAGGTAGGGGTCAGAAGAGCAACCCGGAACAATGTAGCAAAGTCGCCCCTGCCCACCTGCCTCGATGAACACCAGCGTCTCCTCACAGCCCTCATTCAGTTTACACACCATGCTCCTCAACAGAAACCACTGCCACTTATGGAGACCTACAGCTCTGAAGAGTGAAGATTTTGCTTCATAGCACAGAAGAGCTTCAGCCCCTAAAGAGAGAATCTTTATCTGGTCAACTGCTCCTCACATTGCCTTCTCAACCCTTGAGCCGCCAATCAAGAGTTCAGCCTCCACAGATCTTGTCCCCAGAGGGACCCAGATACGCAGCTTTCCCTCTCCCAGCGACAGGAATCCAGGCCCCCCCATTCTCCCCAGCCAAGAGGGTCCCGAAGCATCCAGCCCCACAGGACATACAAGGCAGAGAGGAAATGGCCCCCAGGAGACAGAGCAGCTGCATGGGGCTGAGAGGCTGGGGTCCCATGGTCCTGTGTTTGGGTCCTGGATTCTGGAACCAGTTTCAATCTAGGTCTCAAAACACCGTTCTTGTTGGCCTTTAGATCACTGTTTCTGAAGCAGAAAGTTGATTATCAGTTCCTGTGACATAGGCTTCCTGAGACCTTCAGGGACACAGGTCTTCATCTCCATGGTCTTTCCTCCAGCCTAACCTGGACCCAGCCCGTGAGCTTCTTGAATCCTGAGTCTCGCTCTGCTGCTTAGTTCCTGCTGTTGGAAATGGTGCTGAGCAGAGAAAACTGGCTTATTCAAAGGATCACTACTTATACAGGATGTTCTCCATCCAAAGACAATGAGATCAGGACAACAAATGCGTGAAAGTCAACTGATGTATTACTAAGTAACCCCTGACTTGAAAAAGAAATGAGAAAGTATTTAGTACTGAATAACAGCAAACATGCTACATGTCACACACACACACACACACACACACACACACACACACGCATGTAAAATCTGATGAAAACTGAATAAGGTCTGTAATTTAATTCAAAGTGTTGTTGTTGTTGTTGTTTAATCACTCAGCCATGTCAGATTCTTTTGCAACTCTATGGGCTATAGATGGACAGGGAAGCCTGGTGTGCTGCAGTCCATGGGGTCACAAAGAATCAGACACGACCAAGTGACTGAACTGAACTGAACTAAACTGATGGACTATAGCCCCCCAGGCTCCTCTGGGGGAGGAGTCCATAGGATTTCTCGGGCAAGAATACCAGAGGTTGCCATTTCCTTCTCCAAGGGATCTTCCTAACCCAGGGATTGAACCCACATTTCCTGCATTGCGGCGGGATTGTTTACCACTGAGCAACCAGAGAAGCCCCAAGAGTACTATACCAATGTTAATTTCCTGCTCATTTACTACAGTCATACAAAATGTCCCTATGCGGAACCAGAAGAAGGGTTTTAGGGATTCTATACACAATTTTTGCAACTTCTTGTGAGCTAATAATAATTTCAAAATCAAAGTTCTTTTTTAATTGGACAATGATTTCTAAATCAATATTTAGAAGTAAATTTATAATTTAAGCACATTTATCAAGAAACAGTAAGAATTATAAAATATGCTTGTGAATTAACTCAAGAAGTTATACAAGGAACAACAAAGCAACCTCCCCAAAAAGGAATAAAAATGATGACCAGAAATCAACGAAATTGATTAAAAAAAACTATTTACAAAAAACTATTACCAAAAACTAACATTCATTCTTTGACAATATTACTAAGATAATCCTCCAAGAAATCTACTCAAGAAAAAAAAAAAAGAGAGATGCAAATAAAATGCAAAATGAAAAATAGAAACTAAAAGACATTACATGTTCTAAGAATAATAAAACTGTCATTAACAACTCCATATTTGGGACTTCCCTGGTGGTCCAGTGGTTGAGAATCTGCCTTCCAATGCAGAAGACATAGGTTTGATCTCTGGCTAGGGAACTAAGACCCCACATGCCTCAGAGCTACTGAGCCCATGCGCTCTAGTGCCCAAGCACTACAACTAGAGAGAAGCCACAAGACGAAGAACCCTCATGTCGCAATGAAGACCCAATGCAGCCAAAAATAAATTTCTTAAAATATATATTTAAAAAACAAGCCTACACTTACAAACTTGAAATTTATATACTTTATAAGTGGATAAATTTCTAAAATAATATGAAATGCCAAAATGGTCACAAGAAGAATGTATGCAAAGTCTTAAACCAATAAGAACGAACAAAGATCTCAGGCAAATTGATTAGAAAAAGAGAGAAATTTAAGTAGAGAAATAGGCCAAGTATATGAAGAGGCAATTCTCAATTCTCAGAAAAGCAAACCAGAAAGGCTAACAAGCACATGAAGAAACACTCGTGCTCAACAATAATCATAGAAACGCAGTATATTCAAATGAGCATCTGCCAGACTGACAAGAGGTCAGAAAGCTGGAAAAATATGAATGTTGGTAGGACTATGGGGCGGGAGAGGCCCTTGTGCATTGGTGCTCATGGGGTAGCTGTGGCCAGGGATAGGGTCCTCTTCTGGACCCTGAAGAATGGAGGCGCTAAGGGTTCTGATCAGTGTCTCAAGCCCAAAGTATCATTCATTGCAAGAAGTCTGGCAATACTTAGCCAAATTAGGTTACAAATAGCTATTTCTGGTATATCCTAGGTACACAAAACAGATTTCCACCTTCAACTACAAAAGAACACATAAAAGGATGTGCCAGTATGGTGGGGATAGTGAGATGAAGGCAACATGGGCATCTCTCCCTGAGACCAAGTGAACACATAACACACAGGGGATGCATACCATGGAATAGCGTGCACTAGTTAGAAGCAACTGGTTAGCTGTACACATCATGCACACATGGATGGATCATAAAAACACTGTGTTGATTATTTTTAATAATAAACAACTCAATGTCACTATAAGTTAAAAACATCATGCACATAAAACACTGCACATCTTGCCAAGAACATACACAGACTAAAAGAGATATGCATGTGCCATCTGAAATGAGCACCTGTGGGACAGTTAGGGAAGAAAAGTGGGGAACTGGGGATTACTGGAAATAAATAAAATGCAGTAGGTAGTACAAAGTTCTTAAGATTTTGAACTCAAAGACAGACCAAGGTTGGAATCTTTACCTCTCCATTGACTAGCTGTGTGATCTTGTGCCTCTTATTGAACTCATTTATAAAACATATTAAAAATATATCTCATAGGCTCATTATTAAGATTATTAGCATAAAGTTCCAGGCAAGTGCTAAGCTCTCCAAAATGTTGCCTCCCTGCCCCCCATCTCTCTCTCTCCACTATCTAAAAGATCAAGGTCAATCTCTTTAGCTGGCATTCAAGCTTCCCACATACAGGCCACCCTTCATCCCTCAGATGGGCCCCAAACAACCTTTCCAATTTTGTCTAATACTGCTCCCTTGCACAGCAGTCCAGATAGATGTCACTGAATACCTGACACAGGATGCGTAACCCAGAAATCTGCCGCAAACCAAGAAGCCAAGACCAGCAGAAAAGATGGGACATGGGAAGGGGGGATGAAGGCAAAGGATAGAAGGAGTTGGACCCAGCAGGGGACAGGGCACACACCTGCCTGGAATGCAAAACCACGGGCCCCAGCAATCTCGGTACAAGCACGGACACAAAAAGAAAAGACTGGAATAAAATCCTCAAGGAAAAAGGGTTGTAGCAGTGGTCAGAGAAGACACTATTCCTACAAGAGAAACCACACTGAGGAGGAGGAGCAAATTAATGGAACGGAAACTTGCAGGGAGACAGAGGATGAGCAGCAAAGAAAGCACAATAGGAAGTGGCAGAAAAATGAGGAATTGGGCACAAAGATCGGCTTCTGGGGTGGGGAGGAGGCTATCTGAGAGGCTCAAAGACAGAAAAGGAGACTGGACGGGATGCATAGAGAAAAGGGGACAACACGGAGGATGGGGGTGGGGAAACCGTGAGATGGGTCTAATAAAGATGCACAGAGAAGGCAACAGTTACAGAGTGGAGGCCAGAGAATGGGGTGAAATCCGGGAGGAAGATGAACACAGAGGGTGGAAAGGGTTAAAAAGAAAACTCACAATAGCATCTCGGGAACCAAAGACAGGGATGGGAGGGGAAGGGGGACAGACTATGAGGGGATGAGGCACGTGGAGAAAGGGTTTCGAAAATCAGCAGGATGAACAGGCAAAGAGAGAGACTCCCGGAGAAGAAAAACGTCAAATTTAGGGAAATCAGCATGGACACAGCCAATAAGAGACACAAGGAAAGGGCCACAACGTTAGAACGTGGGACCCGGGAGGGAAACAAGGATATCACAGGTAGGGGAACATAAAAGGTGAGGTGTAGATCTTGAGTTCAGGTAGTGGGAGAGAAGCGAAAAAACACACGGGCGTCCACGCAGTGAAAGGCCGCTCAAGCCAAGTCCTGGCCACCAAATGCTCCAGAGGCGGGGCGATGCAGCGCAGGCCGGATGACGAGACTGCGCATGCGCCGATGCGTCCAGGTCAACGTTCGCGGGAGGGCGGGCCAGGCGGCCGTTCTTGGGGGCGGGGCCAGCCTTGTACTGGAACCGGTACTCGACGCCCCATTGGCCACCTCTCCCAAAAGAGGAAGAACAATTTGGGAAGGCAAATCACAAGGGGAAGGGATAAGTGCGAGACTCAACTCGACGCGCTATTGGCTGGATTGATAGTCCAGCGCGAGGAGAAGCGGACAGAGGTAAAGGGGCGGGCCGTCAGTGCAAGATCTTGAAGCGCATTGGTCGGTCGCCTCGGCGCCGGAGACGTCGCTTGAAGTTCATTGGTCCTTTTGAGAAGGGGCGGGAAAAGTGGCGCGAGCACAGCCGTTTTTCATACCACTGTCTCACCGCCTCCTTTCGCCTCCTCCAGATTGACCCTAACTGTGCTCCAGGCTGAGGTAACTCCGAACGGACGAGATGAACACGACCCTGCCCCTCCGTGTCTCTTCCACTCCCTCTCTTGCCCTGGATTCCCCGCCCCAGGCATCCCCTCGCCTCCCTGCTCGCGCTCCTCGCGCCCCGTTTGCCCTTCCCCCACCCCGCGGACCCTGGGCGCGCTCCCCGAGCCCCGCCCCCTCCCTGAGACCCTGGAGCGGGGCGGGGCCGCGGACCCAGCGTTTGGGGGGGACAGCTCCAGAATGGGGTGCGCGTGAGGAACAGCTGAGTGGGGCGGTGGGGCGGGAGTGGCTCGAGATTACTTGTTGGTAGTCGGTGAAGGCGCGTGATGGCCCGGCGCAGTGACGTGCCCGGGTTTGCCTTAGTTTAGGAGTGTGGGTGCAACAGAGGAATTTGGGCCGCGGAGAGGGGGGTCTTTGGGCCTAGATCAGGGCCTGGCACGTGGAAGGGGCTCAGTAAACCTTTGCTGAGGAAATGAAAATAATTCTTTAAAATGGGACAAGGGATTCTTGAGAATGATATATTTACTGGGATGCAAGGGGGTCTGATTAAAAGGGCTGCAGGGGGAAGTTGAATTGCACGGCATACATGAGGGTTAAGGATTGAAAGGGTGGCATGAAAGCAGGTGTGGGAATTGGATAACTGCAGGAGGGAAGGATGATAATCATGGAAGAGGATGCCAGGAAAATCGTGGGAATGGGGTGGTGATGGAAAGGGGAGTGTAAGAACTGTTGTAGGGGGCATGAGAGTGCCTGAGTGTGCCCCAAACTGGTATTTGTGCTTGGGAAGGTAGAGGTGAGCAGAGAATAATGTTTGGATCGAAAGATACGTAAGAAAGGAACGAGGAAAGGGGTTCTTGGAGAGGAGGATGCCCCAGGAAGGGTGAAGAAGGGAGAGAGCCAGGGGAGAATCAAGGGTGACATCTGAGTCCCGGGATGGGCAAAGTGGGAAAACCCTTTTGGTGTGGCCTCTGAGAGGCAAGAAGGATAGTCAGGACAGGACCCACGTACGTGGCCACCCTGACCTTCCACTCCTGCCCCTAGATCCATGGACCCCAATGAAATGCCTGCTGTCCACCACTGCCCTTCAGACTCTGCCACAGGGGGTGAAACCAGAGCCCCCCAGGGCATGGAACTTATCCCCAGGAGAGCTGTCAGTCGGTCTCCAACCTGTGCCCGTTGCCGCAACCATGGTGTCACTGCCCACCTCAAGGGCCACAAGCGCCTGTGCCTGTTTCAGGCTTGCGAGTGTCACAAATGTGTCCTCATCTTGTGAGTATGAGATCCAGAGAAGGGAGAGGATGGGCCTCATGTTAAAAGGTGGCTGATTTGACTGTTGACTCACCACTTCCCGTCTTTAGGGAGCGCCGAAGGGTCATGGCTGCCCAGGTGGCCTTGCGTAGGCAGCAGGAGGCACAGCTAAAGAGGCACCTAGCCCAGGGACTCATGAGAGGGGCAGCTCCTCCCAAAGCTCCCAGCCGTGTCAAGAAGGGAGTCACTCGACCAGGGGTCCACTGTAAGTGTCACTGGCTGTGGCCAGGGCAGGAATTTAGGCAGGAAAAGCCTAAGTAGGGAATAGGGCCCCAGTCCTGCCACTGAATTGATGTATGATTTTGGGCAAGGAGTTTCTGTTCTCTGGGCCTCTCCCTCCCCAACTGTAAAGTGTGATTAAGTGTTGGAAGGATGTAATGAGATCAAGGGGTAGAAATGGGACAGAGGGAGATAAAAATTCAATATTGGGCTGGAGTGGGAGGCACGCAGGAGAAAGAGCTCCCCAAAGCTCTCCCTGGTCCCTCACAGCTGGAAAGGAGAACGTAGCACCCCAGCCTCAGACTCCCCATCATGTAGTTCCACTGGCACTGACACCTCCTGGAAAGGTAAGGAAGGCCTGTGCCAGTCCCACTGGCACAAGGTCCCCTGGGCCCTGAGGGAGTGACTCCTATTCTAGCCCCTGCCCAGATCCCTTCCTCTGTGCCCTCAGCACCTGGATTCTAGGTCCAGCCCTGACTTGCTGTATAATCTTGGGCAAATCACTTCTATTCCATGGGCAAAATGATAGGGTGGGATTTTGCAGCCCTTCAAACTCTGAAGTTTGGGGGCCCCAATTCTATCCTAGAACATTCCTTCTCCAGCCTTGAACTTGACTCCAACCTGTGCTCCCTGCCCTTGCAGGAGAACTCTCGGGGCCCTCTGCTGCTCAGTCATCCCCCAGAAGCCTTGCCTTTGCCCTGGACTCCAGTGCCTCCCGGCCCTTGGGCCCCTGGGCACTGGCTGCCTCCAGGCCTTTCCATGCCAACCCCAGTGGTGTGCCGCTTGCTGTGCCAAGAACCTGCTGTTCCTCTGCATCCTTTCCCTGGTAAGATGAATTCAACGTTAATTCAACACATGTTTGAATGACTGTGTACCACTGTGTCAGAAAGAGAAGAGCGAGAGGATACAGGGTAGGAAAAGGCAAGACAGAAGCCATGACCTCTGAACACTATATACTCTGCATTCTCTTTTCCTCATTAGGTTTTGACCCTGGCACTGCCCTCCGGCTGCCCACTCATGGGCCTCTCCCAACCTGCACAGGATCTCGCCCAATACTGACAGCTCCTCTCTCTGGAGAATCTCAAGGGCCTTCTACCCTGCCCCGCACGTGAGTAGGGAGAAAAAGACATGTTTATGATGTGCCTAACCCTGTGCTGGACACCATAGTAGATGATGAAGAAAAAGTCCCAGACTATTGTGTGAGGCAGAGCTGTCCTAACTGAGTAGCTATGAATCTTTGTACAGGTATCTTTACTTCTCTGAGCCTGTTTTCTATTAGTAAGTCAAAGACAGTACTACCTCTTAGTAATAATAAGAATTAGCAATAATATATGGTATACACTTAGCACAAGCCCTGGCCTTAAACAAATAGTGCCTATTAAATCTGCTTAAACAGATAGGGTTGCACTGCCTGCTGACGTGAGGGGTGGGGGGACATGATGGTAAGAATTTCAGAGGCCTAGGAGAGAGGCCAGAGGTCATTAGACAAAGTTTCCTAAAGGTTGGCCAAGCTGCTCCTCAAGTTCCATGGGGATTAAGGAACTAGGAGGGAAGAGGATCACACACTGGTAGGGCAGGAACAATCATTCAAATCCCTCTAGGTGTTTTGTCCATTTTTTTTTAAACTGACACCAATTATTTCCCATAATCCTTACAGTAGCTCTGGGAGTAAGAAGCTGAAAGATGTTTCCATTTTACAGAAAACAAAGCAGGGCAAACAGAGGGAGGGACTTGCCCAAAGCCACAAAACCTAATGACCACAGGCACTCAGAATGCCAGATCAGAACACAGCAAAATCCTGCTCCTCTTTGCATGTATACATGTCTGTCCATGAGTTTAATGCCCCTGGCATCTTTTCTCCTTATTTCCAGATGCTCAACTCTGATACTCCAGCCCTGTGGCACCCCAGACCCTCTTCTGCTACAGCCACAGGTCCTGAAAAAGAAGTGGAATCCAGGACCCTGGGAGGAAGTTCAGCTTGGGGAAGGGAAGAGTAGGGAATAATGAAGTAACTGGGGACAGGGAGCCTCTGGAGGGTGGGCAGAAGTAGGGATTCCCAGTCTGCATCTCTCCTTTGCAGGCCCCTGGACCCTCTTGCCTGACCTGGACCTCTGCCTCGTCAGAGCGGCAGCTGCAGCGGGAGGCAGCTGAGGCTCTTGTGGGACTGAAAGATTCATCTCAGGCTCCCCGCCTGACTCCTGGCCCTGCCAACCCTGCCTGGATCTCCCTGCTCCACCCTTGTGGCCCAACAGGTAACCTGTTCTCTAAAAGGAAAGGATGGGAAAGGCATGATGAGAAATGGAGGTACTGAACAAGCAGGGACTAACCAAGGAGATCAGGAGATCAGCAGGTTGAAGATCCCAGGCCCCACGCTTTTCAACCTAGCCCCTTAGATTACAGTTGAGACTTATTCAGTGAATTTATTTTTTTGTGTGCTCAAAGGCAAATGTCCAGTGCCCTGATGTCAAGGAAAGTGAGGCCCTGAGAGAGGCCTGAGAGCATATAGCAAGTCAGTGGCAAAGCCTGGTTTCCTCACTCCAGCCCAGGGCTTCTCTCGACCCATGGAGCCTGCTGAAGTCTGGAGAGGGACTGAGGAGGTATCAAGAGCCTGGCCTGGACCCTTGATAACTGCTTTTAAGGAGTTTTCTATTTGGCAACCTGCCTCTAATGGCATCCTATTTGGAAAACCTGGATGCTTTCACAAAGTTTAGTGATAAACTTGGGAGAGATGTAGAAGAATCTTGAGGTGTGAGAACCACCTGTGGGGAGAGAAAGGGAACGCTGAGATTTCTCCTGCCCAAAATGATGGGTTGGGCATGCAGCGCAGGTGAGGAAACTGGCCTGAAGGAACTGCTGAGACAGAAGCAGGTGAGTCTGGAAGGGCTTCTGATCATGGAAGTAAACACGCAACCGTACATGAAGGGAAACAAGGGAATATTTCTGAGCTAGGCAGGGATGTATTCAGAGACTCTGAGCTTTAGAAAGATAAGTATGGTGGCTGTGATGGAGGGATTGGATGAGACAAGACTAGAAGTGGTGAAATCAGTGAGGAGGAAGTGGTTGCTATAATCCAGGTGAACAAAGATGGGCCTGGAATAGATGGGGTAAAAAGGGAGGGTTTGCTGGGAGGGGAAGTGGATGTGACCTGCTTTTGCCCTCTTTCTTTCTTCCTGTAGCTCCTGCTGGAGGAAGAGGATTCCAGCCTGTTGGGCCCTCTCTCCGGCCCAGCCCAGCCCCTTCCGTGGCTCTGCATATTGGGCGACTGGGGTCCATTTCCCTCCTAAGCTAGAAGCCCAGAGGTGGAGGCCCGAGGGGGTAGGGGGCAGCAGCCTGTAGGCATTGCATATTTGGTATTTTACTCCCAGATTTCTGCATGGAATTTCATGTAGTACACGCTTCAGGCTTTTTTTAAAGCTCTCAGGTGCTTTGTTAGCTTTTGGTTCCTTTTGTAGCATGGCCGTTTCCTTAGCCAAAGGTGGATATTCTCTTACCTTCCTTGGGTCCTGGGACCTTTTAAAATCCCCAAAAAAGAGAAAGTTGTGCAGTTTAAGCTAACCAGTATCTAAATAGATTTCTGCATGAGTTCATGTTCCAGGGTATTCATTTGACATGTGATCCTGTATATACCTGTGCACTCATGTCTGCCTCCATGCATGTGAAAACAAGAGTATTTTTGTTTTGTGTCTTGGTTTGTGTGAGTAAGCAAGAAATAAACCAGTGTTGTATTAAGCCACTGAGATGTGGGAGTTGTTTTTTACCACAGCTTAACCTAGTCTATCCTGAGTGACAGAAAGGACTTGTTCACTTTACTCCTCAAAATGAAAGTCAGTTACTCAGTAACTACCACAAGTAACTACAAACTTGGATTTCTTTGTATGGCCAAGTAAGAAAGAGTGGTAGGGAAACACAGTAGGTGATTCACTGGTTGAATAATTGACTGCTCTGGGCCAAACATAGACAGTTTCCAGCTGTTCAGAGGGGCACAGTGCAATACCTACAGGGCCAAACAGATCATATAAGTGAGTAAAGAAGGCCAGAGAAGCCCTGGCAAACAGAATGCATGCTCCACCTAAGGGGCCGCTTCCTCTTGGCCCTAGTGAATTGTTGCCAGGCAGGAATGTGGGCTCAGTACTGCCATATCTGCTGATTTTTCAAGAGAAGCTGGAAAACTAGATTTCTGTTTTACATTTCTTAATTTTCAAATGCTGACTCAGTTTTTCTTTAAATTCTGTGCTGTGCTTAAATCCTATGTAGGTCAAACAAAACATATCTTCAGGCCAGCTTTGGTCAATGGAATGCCAATTTAATGCTCATCTGTTGTTGTTGTTTAGTCGCTATGTCGTGTCTGACTCTTTTGTGACTTCATGGACTCTAGCCTGCCAGGCTCCTCTGTCCATGGGATTTTCCCCGACAAGAATACTGGAGTGGGTTGCCATTTCTTTCTCCAGGGGATCTTGCCAACCACAGGATCAAACCCATATCTTCTGCATTGCAGGCAGATTCTTTACCACTGAGCCACCAAGGAAGCCCCGATGCTGATCTAACATAATATTTTTATAATGGGGAGACTGAGAGCAATCAGAACAGGAATAATCAAGTTAGTCTTTATAAAAGGTTTTTCCTGAACTCGGGAGGTTCATGTATCTAAAATCTGAAGGACCTATAAAAGGATTGTGACAATTATCATTTATTGAGTACTCACTGTATGCAATTCCCACTTATCCTCACAGCAACTTTGTAAGCTATACATGATTACTCTGATTTTACAAATAAAGGAACAAGCTTAAAGAGATTGACTTGTCTGAGTATTTTAGGAAAAATTTGTAGGCAAATACTGAAGAAAGATTCCTTTTCCTTGCCAGGCCCAAATCAATTGTGCTTAGTCGCTCAGTCATGTCCAACTCTTTGTGACCTCATGTAAGCCACTAGGATCCTCTGTCCATGGGGATTCTCCAGGCAGGAATACTAGAGTGGGTTGCCATGCCCTCCTCCATGGGAACTTCCCAACCCAGGAAGCAAACCTGGGTCTCCTGCATTGCAGGTGGATAAATCTATTAATAGATAATTTTTATAATACATAGAGTGAAAAATTCAGGACTCCAGGAGACAGACATCCCAAGGGTTTTTCAAAAAGTCTTTGCTTTTGTATTCAAGAGAGCAGTAAGTAATAATATCTTACTCACGTTTGTTTCTTAGTCTTCTGCTGTCGAGTTTTTCTTCTTGAACTGTTTCAAGTATGTGGAGACCTGTTGAGCTATTCCAAAGATAGGAAGATTTGGAGACCCCTATCCCCATTCCCACTCTTAGAAGGGCCAAACAGAAAGTTCATGCCTGGGAGGATGATTCTGCCTGGGCACTGATTCTGCTTCCTAATGTTACCTACACACCTTTTTATTCAAGATAATTGATGGTGATGGCATCCAATTGCAACTTGCTATTTTCCAGTTTGGGGTCTTGAGAAGATGAGCTGCTTCTAATTCTAACAGATTACAGAGCAACTAACCTCCAACACTTCTCAGGACTAGGACTCAGTGCAGGATAACCGAAGGACCTAAGTTGGTTCACACCTTCCTTCCCTGACCTTAACTTAGATGTATGATTGCCCCTTAATAGACCTGCCTAAGCCTTGTGCCATGCTCTCTCAGTGACAGATAGCCAAGCTCCATAATCAAGGGGGAGGGAAGCATTGCAACATGCAACATGGCTAAGACCCTGCTACCCAGAGCTGACCAAAGGTCCCCAGTACACCAAGCTCACACAGCTGGCCACCGTAACAGAGAAAGTATAATCTGAGGTTAAAGGATGACATGAGAAAATGGAGGGGGTAAAAAGAAAGTGATGAAGACTGGAGAAAGGAGCTGGGGGCAGGCCACTCATGGACTCATTTCTCTGCAGCCCATCTCCCCTTCTTGTCAGACTTGGCAGGACCTTTTACACTCCTGACTAGGTCTAGTTTGTCAAATTGTCAGGGCCCCCCCATTGCTTCCCCAACCACTTCCCCAGGGGGAGAGGTGGAGGCTCTGCAGAGCTCAGGTCTGGGGAAAAAGGCAGGTTTACAGATTGTTCATGCTCCTACGTGGCTGAAGCATCCTTCACCTGCAGTTGTGGGGAGTCAATGGGCTCTTGGCTTCTGACCAGCCTTTGGAGATTAAAGCTAATAGACTAATTCTGTTAGCAGTGTTTCGTATGTCACTCCCTTTCCCAGCACCCATTACCAGGTGAGGAGAGGTGTTGCCCAGGTCCAATAGGGTACTGAGTAAATCATCCCTCTTCTCAGCTTCCTTCATGTACCATTCTCATTGATGTTCTGCAGAAATCACCAATGAGTTCCCAGATTTGAAGCACCATCCTGCTCCTCTCCAGACAGACACCCATGTTTCACTTCAGGAGCTCCTTTTACATTCTGCCCTTTGGGAATCCACACTCTCTTTCACTCAGCCCTGTGTGAACCTGGTCCACTCCAGACTATGCTCCTTGACCAATGTAGCACCATCATACCACCCACCCCATCCAGTTTCTCTACTCAAACCCTCATTGCCTGATCCGCGAGACCTCATCCTGCATCCCTGTCACATTGTGTAGCTGGCTCTGCAGTCACCAACATATATTCACATAGACAGTTCTATAACCCATGCCCTACATACACCCTCATCCTTTCCATCTGACTTAATATCTCTAATAAGCCCCTTAGATAGACTTCCTTACATTCCTCAAGGGCCCTCGGCCCCTAGTTTACAAGCCTGATCACCTTGAGCTGGGCCTGTCCAACCATGCCTTCCCCTCTAAGAATTAGTACTCTAAGAGGGCAGAGCCTGCATTCAACTCCTCTCTGGCCACTCAGCATAAATGACTAAACACGTTGTCTTGATTCCTTAGGAATTTTTTTTTTTTCCTACAAAGTTCACTGTAACATGGCTTCTCCCCTCATCACAACATGAACAACTTCCTACCCTCAAACCATTTTTTAAGAGGTTTCTTTCAAGCAGTTTTTAGGTTCATAGCAAAATTGAGCAGAAAGTAAGAGCTCTCATATTCCCCTTGCTCCCCAAAGCCTCCCCTCCTATCAGCATCACACATCAGAGTAGTACATTTGTTAGAATTGCTGAGTCTACGCTGACACATTATAGTTTACATTAGGATTCATATTTCATTATTTTCTCCTCGCAGCAAGTCAGCAACTTCATCAAACCACAGGTGTGTCCTCTGTGTTCTCGGACCTTAGACGGATTAACCTAAATAATGCATGTAACACTATACATGTTTACCTGTTCCTTGCACAGAGTAGGCACACAAAAAACATTTGTCGATAGAATTAGTATTTGGCCGAAGAGGGGCGTCCCAGGTAAAGAATCTGCCTGCAATGCGGGAGGCCTGGGTTTGATCCCTGGATTGGGAAGATCCCCTGGAGGAGGGCATGGCAACCCACTCCCCTATTCTTGGCTGGAGAATCCCCATGGGCAGAGGAGCCTGGTGGGATACAGTCCATGGGGTCACAAAGAGTCTGACAGGACTGAGTGACTAAGCGCACACACATGTCCGAAGAGACTCGGGCTTTAGGAGGCAGAGCTGAACTTCGAAGGTCCCGCCTCTGCTTCTGTTCCTGCCCTTTTCTACTCCCCACCTCCAGGGCCTCATTCGCATTCCGCTCTGCTGGGCCATGGTGAAGCAATTTCCGCCCTAAGAAGGGTGGGGCTTCCGTCTCCTGCTCTCGCGAGTACTACTGGTCGAGAAAGGGCAGACTGGCTGCAATTCTTCCGTGTCCTTCCTCTCGGCTCCCGGTCACAGTTCCGCCCTTACTAGCCCCACCTTCGGCCAGAAAAGCCACTTCCACTCGGAAAAAGGGGTGGTCCCGCTGGAGCCGCCGGTCTATTTCCCGCCCAGCCAGCTTCCCCATAACTTCCGCCAGGAGATACAGCCTCCGCTGCTATTCGTTCCATCCACGATTGATGCAAACGAAGCTAGATTCCCTCCTGCTCGAGATTAGAGCTCCTCACTCTATCTCGCTGCAGGAGAAAGAAGATCGAGGAGGAAAAAGCCTCCACCCACCCACCAAACCCGCCCACCTCCGCGGAGGCGAAGCCACCTTTGCCCTGAGAGAGGCGGAGCCACCTTTTTGTAAACCCGTTCTCGCGAGCTCCGGAACTCTCGCGATAACCGACGCCCGACTTGTGCGCCCGGGAAACCCCGTTTCTCCCTTTCCCCTGGCTGGCAGCGCGGAGGCCGCACGGTGAGAAGAGTGCTCTGGTGCGACCCGGGCGCGGGGAGTCGGGGCTCGATTTTCGAGCCCGAGGAGCGTGCCTGGGGGGCTCCGGGGCACCCGCGTGGGCCGCCCCGCCCCCTAGAGCCGCCGCCACGTGCGAGCGGCAGGCCCGGACATGTCTGATCCGCGCGGTCTGGGAACCGCGGCTGGGCCAGGTGGAAACCCGCGAAAGCGGGGGCGGGGTGGGGGGCAGAATCAGGGGTTGGCGACGTACAGCGTCTTCACAAACGGGGTCAGGCAGTGTTAATGCGCCCCAGAGAGACCGTGGTCGTCGGTAAGCTCTGTAAGACCCGCAGGCGCTTGGGCCTCTAAAGTGGGGAGTTGTAGTAGGGCCTTCGGAAAGTAGGGTGAGTGCGCCAGTTAAGTCGCCGTGGGACTGGGCTCGGGCCGTTGGCAGTCTTCTGCATCCAACCTGTGTTCTTATGCTCGACCTTGCCCGCAGATGCCTGGAGTTACTGTAAAAGACGTGAACCAGCAGGAGTTCGTCAGAGCTCTGGCAGCCTTCCTCAAAAAGTGAGTGTGGGGACTGGGTGGGGGCTCTAGTCTTGTCCGACGCCTCTGGGCTTTCTTTTCCTGGCTGCGGAGGCTTGGTGGTGGTCAGTGTGGAGTCCACTCTTTCTACATGAGGCCTGGGTTGTGTTTTGAGTTTCAATATTTTTCCATTTCTGGGGCACATTGGGCTCCTAGTGGTGTACAGTTGTGCTGACGGAAGGGAATGGGGATGGAGTTTGTGGAGGCTTCTGAATTGTGCCTTTCTGGCTGTCCTGGTCCCAGGTCCGGGAAGCTGAAAGTCCCTGAATGGGTGGACACCGTCAAGCTGGCCAAGCATAAAGAACTTGCTCCCTACGATGAGAACTGGTTCTACACACGAGCTGGTGAGAAACTGGGGCCTTTGGATGGGTAGTGGAGGGCTGAGTGTCTCCTTTGTGAGTTCTTAACTTGTCCCCAGAAATTACGAGAGAAATACTTGACTCTGTTATTGCATACTTTGTGTGATGTAGGGTAATTTTGTGTTGTTGATATTTGTTCATTTGTAAGCGATTTTACGTGAGGACCCTCAAGGATCCTCGGAGCCTCGAGGGCATCCCAGGGACAATGAGTAAAGTGTTCATCTTTTGTCTAGAGGTAGTTCATTTTATAAAGTCGTTGTCCTTTCAATGTCTCTTTTCTGTTTTCATTCAGGTTATCACACTAGCTTATCTCTTTCTCTTTAAGAAGTTGTTCCTAACAAAGGGGTTGGAAATGTGACCCAGTTATTCTAAATCTTGACAAGTCTCAAGTGTTCAGAAGAAAACTTAGGGTCACTCTGTACCAGCTCCTTCTCTTTTTATTAATCCTTTATATTAATTGATCCTTCAGTAAGGACTGGCTTAAGCATAGCCCCTGATCGCACAGTGCTAGTACTGTCTTATCTGTCTTTTTAATGATTGAAGTTTCTCCAAGCAGTCACCCCCATGAAGCTTATCTTGGGAGTGGGGAGTGGGGGGTGGGTTTCCACCCTGGATTGTGCCAAGGCAGCAGCCTCTGCACAGGCCTTCACAATGGGCTCTCAACCTCTCCACTCTCAAACCTTCCTCCTCTGTGAAGTGGGGGTTCTGTCCTGACGACCGCTTGTCTCCATGTGGGAAGTGGGTGGGAAGCAGAGTTGAGAAGTTGACAAAACTCCAGCGTGACTTTGAGAAGAGTTGGCCTTGGTCAAGTTGCCCAGTATCTCAGAACATGAAGTGTTTTGTAGTCTGAGCTTTGATGATTGTGAGGTAAGTGGGGTGGGTAGCTTATCCACCTACTCATTTCAGTGTTTTCAGAAAGAAAGATGGGGGGTGGGACAGGGTGGACAAGACCACCACTGCCACCCCTTTCACCCGTCTTGGGAAGCAAGGTTTGCATAGTCCTGACTGCTCTTTTGTGATGTCCAAGATTTGGAGAAAGACTAGTGGTTTTTCTCATTTTGTGGGTGAATATGCCTATGTTGTGTAATCTGTACTTAACAGAAACCTCCCACATAGGGACTGGTGGTAGCTGATTTGCTGTTGATGTCAGAGTGGTTAATACATGAGGTCTGTCTGCTCCTGAGACCGCAGCCCCCTCGGCCTTGTCATCACTTGGGGAGTTGGTGGTGGGCAGCTCTCTTCCCTCGGCAACATTCTCTACTTTGCGTTTCTAGGTCGGGGGAGGTTGTGGGGTGGGGGAAAGGCCGTGGCTAACACACACCTAGTTGAGCCTGCTGGTCGTCTTTGTAGTTGCTGTGGCCACTTTCTGTCCACTGTGTACCTTCCCTAACACCTCATGCTAGGTGTGCGTCCTCTGCCTGCCCTGCTGGTCTCCCTCTGGATTTCCAGAGCCCCCTTTTGACTGGACTTTCCCAGCTGCCCTAGTGGCACAGATAGCGGTTCTAGACCAAGGTTTTTTGGGACGCAGCCATGGTTATTCGTTTACAGTCACAGCAGAAGCCTGGGTTGGAGCTATGACAGACTACTGTCTGACCCTTAAAGAGGAAAAGTTTGCCAACCTCTGTTGAAATCTGGAGTGCTCCTACTGAGTTTGTTCAGTTCATACTCTGGATGAGGAGAGTCATGCAGACTGACAGATGAAGACCCTGGGAAGGTGAGGCAGGCTGGCTACCAAGACCAAAGTCTGTAGATCTCGGGTGTAGATGACAAGGGCCACATAGGTGACAGGGCCTTCGTAAGGGTGGTCTGGAAGGGGTGCGGTTATCTGTAGGTATGAATAGCCTCCAGGCAGTGGTGTTGGGAGTGTGTGAGGGATGAGGTGTGGAGATAGACCCTGTTTCAGGGGAGCTGAGACCTACTCTTAAGGGGAGGAGGGGGGTCAAGGGGAGACTATGGGCTTTGAATGGGGTGCTGCATTGTGGCCCTGGGTAGATATAAGTGCTCAGATGGGCCTGCTTGAAAGGGAGGTAAGAATACAATGTGTCTGGCAGTGAGTGAGCAGCTGTTGGATTGGGGCACCTGAATCCCTTTTCTCTCCCCCCGCCATGCCAAACAGCTTGCAAAATCTTAGTTCCCTGACCATGGATTGAACCCAGGCTCTGGGCAGTGAAAGCAGAGTCCTGACCCCTGGACTGCCAGGGAGTTCCCACTGAATGCCTTTTACTGTAAGGTGGAGGCCAATCCCAATCCAAGCAGTTGCCTTTCTCCACCTTATGATTCGGTGGGTCAGGATGGAGCCATGAACGTGAACTTAACATGGACTGGTAGCTGGCTAGGCTGCGAAGACCAAAGCCTGGTTTGGTCTGCCATTTGCTAAGTGGAGTATCCCCTGCCCCCTCATCCACTTGGGGGCCCAACAAGACACCTAGCAGGGGTTTAGGGTGCTGCGTGGTCCTGAGGTAGGAGTGACTCCTCATCCGGGTCTCCCTAGAGGGAGCAGAAGGACACCTTTGGAGGGGCTGAAGGGAAAGCCTTTTGTGGCAGCACCTCGTTCACTGAGGCCATCATAAACACCCTTGGGATGGCCTGGATTTGCGCCCTTACAGCTCCACTTCAGGAGGAGGCGCTGGGACCTCGGCCTAGGTCTGAAGGGCTGAGGAGAGGAAGTAAAAGGGGGTCAGTGTTTCTGTGGAACTCAGTATTTTGACTGTTAATTTCCAATTTGTGAAGTTAATACTCTTGTTCTCCCTTCTAACGGGTCAGAAAAATAATCTGCACAAACTGCTGTGATGGGGGAGGACCTGGTATCTGCCACACTGGATAGTGGGGGGTGGGGGGGTTGCCACGCCACTTAGTTTCTCCATCAGGGGTGGAAAACAGGGTCCTAACCACTGGACCACCAGGGATGTCCCCCACACCTAATAGTTTTAGTGGTGTTAAGAAAGGTGTGAAATCCACCCAGGAGAAACTAAAGTTGGGCTTTGTTGGAGTTTGTTCTCTGACTTTCGCTGCTGGGGACTTGAGTAAGTTGTCCCCGTGAGTACCAGGCCACTGGCCGCTAGACATGGGTGGGCTCTGTCACAGCTGGAAGGGAGCCATGTTGGGGTTCAAACCCCAGCTACCAGGCAGCTCACCCCTTTCCATGGTGAGACTGGGCTGAGTGCTGTCCTGGTTCAGCAAAATTCATTTCTGGTGTGCAGCCTCTTCCGGGTGTTGGTGAAATCAAGGGTGTTCATCTTAACCCTACTATGGGGCTCTCATGCCTTCCACATCCCAGGTGGAGAGCGGGTCTCCACATGGAACCAGGGCATGGCCTGTGTGATGGGGAGGTGGCCATTGGGCATTTGGACTGGTCTTGAAGACCATTTCTCCATGAGGTCACTCCCCTGGCAGAAAGGTTGTTGAGGGAATTGGGGGGGGCGGTCCTTACAAGAGGTGAGTCTCTTGATCCTGGCAGTGGGTAGGCTGCTTGATGCCTGGAAGAGGGGTCAGATCCCTGGTATAGAGGATGGCATGGGGACAGAAAGAACCAAGGAGAATGATTTAAAGGGGGCAGGGCCATGGGCAGTGATACCAGGGAGAGGCTACTCAGTGGCCCTGGTGAAGTGGCGGGAGTTAGCGCTCTGTGATACGCCCCTGTAGCCTGCGTCCGTGTCTGGAGGCGGGCCGACAATGGGTTGTGTGCAGGTACTGCCCAGGGAGGAGGAGCCCACCTCACCTGGTCAGTTACATTTTATACCACCCCTACCCCCCACCCCAGCTCTAGACACAGGGGGATGGTGTGACTCTTAGCAGCGAGTCATTATTGGGAGAATAACTTCTGACTCATCTTCAGGACCGAGGAGAATCCTAACGTGTGGGGACCTGGAGTCCCTACGCTTGAGCTTTCAGCCAGGCGGGGCCATGTGGTGGCCAGCATCTGGGCCCCAGCTCTTTCAGACCCCAGTGGCTCCCTGAGATAGAAAACCAGAACCATCTGCAGGGCTGTCTGTCCCTCCAGAGCAGCCACACTATTAGGCTGGCCCCTGAGGCTATCTTAACTACTCACAGGAGAGAGTGTAAAAGCAGGTGGCACAGGGCCTGGCGGGCCAGTGTTCCAGTTGAACAGAAGAGATTTCCAAGGAGACTGGCCAGGGGACTTGCCCGAGCCAGAAACCCCAGTCCACGGAGCAGGCTGACATACCTTCCAGGTTGGGATCATGGCGTTAGGATGTCAGCACTGCTGCTACCGTGAACCCAAGCTCTTCAGGGCAGGCCTGGGATGGTAATGGGGCAATCAGTAGGTCCCTTCTCCAACTCTACAGCCCTGCAGAGCCCCCAGACAACTGGTTGTGGACGGTCACGGCTCAGACGTTTGCTGGGCTCTGTCCATGAAACCTCAGGTCCGCCTCACTACTTGGCCGGGGCAGCAGGATCTGCCTGGTCACGTGGCTGAAACAGTCTCCACTGCCGGTGCACCCCAGGCTCCCGAACTGGGGGTGGTGGTCAGGTGTTACTGGAACCTTGGGTGCATTCGCCTGTTCTCCGTTTCCCCGACTGTAAGATGGTGAGAATTCGTTCCCTGCGGAATTCAGTGTGTGACCCTGAGCAGAGCCCTTTCCTGTGGGCTTCTGTGCCTGAGAAGGGTTCTCCAGCCTCTCTTTCCTCCCACCCAGCTTCCACGGCACGGCACCTGTACCTCCGGGGTGGCGCTGGGGTTGGCTCCATGACCAAGATCTATGGTGGGCGTCAGAGGAACGGCGTCATGCCCAGCCACTTCAGCAGAGGCTCCAAGAGCGTGGCCCGGCGGGTCCTCCAAGCCCTGGAGGGGCTGAAAATGGTGGAAAAGGACCAAGATGGGTGAGCCAGCGAGGGGACGCTGAGCACATGAGGGTGCTTGGGGCCAGATCCTCAGTGGTGCCTTTATGGAGGACCATCCCCCTCTGCCCTCAGTGAGGTGTCAGGTATGTCCTGGCCCTCGGGCAGGCAGGGGGTTCTTCAGAAGAGCGAGCAGCCGAGGGGCCTCGCCCTGACCTCTCTGGCTGACTACTCCAGACTCCAGGAAGGTAATTTAGCGACTGTCCACTTTCATTAGCCTGCTCGTTAACTTTTCCCAATTGATTTTTCGGGGCTTTTGATCTATTGCTTGGAGAAACGACACCCCATCAGCTCAGGACAAGGGGGGGTTCCCACTGCAGCCTCCAGCTTGTTAGAATGCAGCCGACTGGGGGCCTGAGTGAGACTTGGCTGGCGTCATGAGGTCCTGCGGCCAGGTGCCTCCTTGGGAAGCCTGGCTCATGTCCAGGGGAGGCCTGGCCAGGACCAGGGATGCTGGTGAGAGTCCACGCTCACCTGGGCCTGCGTGACCCTTCTCTCCCACAGGGGCCGCAAACTGACGCCTCAGGGACAGAGAGATCTGGACAGAATCGCTGGACAGGTGAGTGGGGACTTGGGTCACCACCTGGGGGCCTCTGGAGCTTGGACTTTGACAGTTTCCTCCCCTGGAGGGTACAGCCAGGGAAGCGGGAGTGCAGGAGAAAGATCATTTCTAACAGACTTCCCGTCACGGGTGGTAGGAGACAGGTTGGCATGCAGGGCCCTGGGTGAAGGGAGCCCCGGGCCTAGGTGCAACCAGCTGGGCCTTTTCTGCAGGGCACGCTCCCAAAGAGGCCACTCCATCTCCCCAGGTCAGCCTTCTGATTCTGACGGCAAGGTTTCTTCCTTATTCCTGATCCTCATGGAGCATCGGGCAGGGTGCCACGGAACCCGGCCTCCATGTGGAGGCCGACTGACAAGACACCCTGGGCCAGTCTCCCTATCTGGAGTGATGCCCTCAGCCACTTCCCAGGGTGGTGGCGAGGATTCATGAGCTACAGCAGCAGGAGCCCTGGGGCCTGGCACGAACCTGTTGTTGGTTTTCTTCTTTGTGTATCATTGACTTAGGCCCCCTAGGACCCTTGGACTGTGGAGTCCCTTAGTTTCTAAGTGTCAGACAAGAGCAGCGTATCAGCCCTCTGGGAACGGGAGGTGGCCTGGCAGACGGTAGGGGCAGTACAGGGTCTGGCGCCAGCAGCAGTGTAGACTGGGGTGATGGGCAGAGGTCAGAATCATACTGCAGTGCTCTCTTGAGTCCCAGTTTCTGATTCTTTAAAAGGGGAAGTGCCCGAGGCTGTGAGCATCTGGTGAGATGAATACATCAGAAACCACAAATCAGGAGGCCTGGTGCCCCCTGGTTAGTGGGGAGCTTCTGTGAAGTGCCTGAACACAGGCCCACAGCTGATCGTAACTATTTGTCCATCTTTCCTACAGGTGGCAGCTGCCAACAAGAAGCATTAGAACAAATGATGCTGGGTTAATAAATTGCCTCATTCGTAACCCCGGTCTGGGTCTCCTGTTCTGAGGGGTGGGGCATGAGGAAGGAGCGCTTCCCTTCCCTGGTGAAAGAGGCGCCAGGGGCTTCCTGGATGGCTGTCATACTCAACAGCCCCAGAAACCTGAGGCCTGGCTTCCAGATTCAAACGGGTTCTACCCCACGTGGGCAAGGTGCTGGTGTATGACCCAGGGCCTCTGCGCGTCTCTCCACAGCAGGTCTCAGAAAAAAGAAACTGAAAGTTCAAGCAGTGGCCGTGCTGGAACAAAGCAGGAGGGGCCCTGGGGCTGCAGTGCTGCTTCCCTGCAGGAAGCGGACAGGGACAAACAGCCCTCGCTCCAGGTGGTCCTTGGGGTGCCTTCCGCCCGAGGGTTTGACCTTGGCCTGGTGTGCGCGTCCTTTCCCTGATCTGCTAGGGATCTCTAGCCTGGGCCCTGCTGTACCCACTTCGACAAGGGGAAGCGGGGAAGCGGCAGCACGGACCCAGCTGGGACCAGGGTGTTAACTTCCCTCCCCAGGGGAGGGATGTGACACCTGCCGGGAGGCTGCAGTCTGGGGCCCTGCCCCCTCTGGGTCTCCATGGCAATTGGTTCTTGGCACTGATGGGACCTTCCCAGGTAGCTCAGACAGTAAAGAATGCTTCCCCTGCAGAAGGGAATGACTACCCACTCCAGTATTATTGCCTGGAGAATTCCATGGACAGAGGAACCTGGTAGGCTACAGTCCATAGGGTCGCAAAGAGTGGGACACTGAGCAACTTCCACTGATGGAACAGGAACTCTACCTGTACCTGGGTCCCTGGTTGGAGCAGGACACCCTTTTAATCCTGGAGGGAGAAGCCTTGCCTTCGTAGGGCACCCTACCACCCTGGGGACTGGGCACACCTCCCAGCTGGGAAAAGCCAAGGTGCTGAGCCCAAACTGGCTAGGCCACAAACCCTGAGCTTCCTCCACCCCCAAGTTACCACTGAGATCAGACCCAGTTCCATGCCTGACTTCTGGACTCTGGATGACATGAGTTCAAGTTCCACTACTGCCCATAATTGCTATGACCCTGAGCAGCTTACCCTCAGCCTGCTCTTGTTTGTAAAGCTACTTCTGCCTGAGGGATTCTGGGAGGTTCCCTGTCTCAGCCCAAAGCAGCATACCTGGTGTACCAAGACGTTGAAAGTGAAAATATCAGACCATAGAGTCCTAGACCTTTGGCACTACTGCCCCCAGCTCAAAAGTTGCCAGGGCTGGAAGTTACTCACTGATGTGAACACTGGACTAGAGCCAACCAGTGTGTTTGTACCCAAGTACTCCAGTCATTCAGTAGTGTGTGAACCCTTGCGACATGGATTGCAGCACTCCAGGCTGCCCTGTCCATCACCAACTCCCGGAGCTTACTCAAACTCCTGTCCATCATGTCGGTGATGCCGTTCAGCCATTTCATCCTCTGTCGTCCCCTTCTGCCTTCAATCTTTCCCAGCATCAGTGTTTTCCAATGAGTCGGTTCTTTGTATCAGGTGGCCAAAGTATTGGAGTTTCGGCTTCAGCATCAGTCCTGCAAGTGAATATTCAGGACTGATTTCCTTTAGGACTGACTGCTTGGATCTCCTTGCAGTTCAAAGGACTCTTAAGAGACTTCTTGAGAGTTCAAAAGCATCAGTTCTTCGGCGCTCAGCATTCTTTTTGGTCCAACTCTAACATTCATACATGACTGCTGGAAAAACCATAGCTTTGACTAGACAGACCTTTGTTGGTAAAGTAATGTCTGTGCTTTTTAACATGCTGTTGGTCATAGCTTTTCTTGTTGGTCATAGCTTTTCTTCCAAGGAGCAAGTGTCTTTTAATTTCCTGGCTGTAGTCACCATCTGCAGTGATTTGGAGCCCAAGAAAATAGTCTGCCACTGTTTCCATTGTTTCCCCATCTATTTGCCATGAAGTGATGGGACCACATGCCATGATCTTACTTTTCTGAATGTCGAGTTTTAAGCCAACTTTTTCACTCTCCTCTTTCACTTTCATCAAGAGGCTCTTTAGTACTTCTTCCCTTTCTGCCATAAGGGTGGTGTCATCTGCATATCTAAGGTTGTTGATATTTCTCCCAGCAGTCTTGATTCCAGCTTGTGCTTCATCCAGCCAGGCATTTAGAATGATGTACTCTGAATATAAGTTAAATAAGCCAGGTGACAATATACAGCCTTGACACACTCCTTTCCCGATTTGGAACCAGTCTGTTGTTCCATGGCCAGTTCTAACTTGCTTCTTGACCTGCATATAGATTTCTCAGGGGCTTCCCCTGTGGCTCAGCTGGTAAACAATCTGCCTGCAATGTGGGAGACCTGGGTTCAACCCCTGGGTTGGGAAGATCCCCTGGAGAAGGGAAAGGCTACCCATGCCAGTATTCTGGCCTGGAGAACCCCATGAACTGTATAATCCATGGGGTCACAAAGAGTTGGATATGACAGACTGAAGTACTAGAGGTGCTGTTTAACCAGATCACTTAATACTTTTGTGAAGTAGGTACCCAAACGCACCCACTGTTTGAGATGGGAAAAAGAGGTCACGGGATGGGTGATTTTCCTCATGACCTACAGCTAGGAGGTAGCAAAACCAGCATTTGGTAGCTACAGCCAGCTATCTGGGCGGCAGCCACTGCAGGGCTTAGCAATGAGGAAAATGAGACCCAAAGGGTTACACTCCTGGGCATGGCCTTGAGTCAGTCACTCCTTGTTTGGGACCTAAGTTTCCTTTTTTGTCGACTGAGAATGAAATTTCCCAGAATCATCCTGGGAATGCAATGCCAAGCATCCAGTTAGCTTGCCCAGTGCCAGATACCAGGGGTGCTGGGTAAGTGGGTCGTGGAGGTGCCCTGCCCAGACAGACCAGTCTACCTGAGAGGGCCTGCAATGCGGCAGCTGCACCCCTCTGGCCACTGGGGGGCAGTCAAGGGCCTGGAAACCAGCCTGGCCAGGAAGGATGCTGAAGGAGGCGAATTCCTAAGGGCTGCAGCAACTGGACCACCCAGGCATCTTCCTACGTGGGGGCCAGAAGGAGGAACTTTAGTACAGAGGGGCTCATAACCTGCTATACAGAGAGGGGCCCAACGGAACACCTGGGTCCCTGGAGGGAAAGGGGGAGGGTCTGAGGGCCAGAGAAGAGGAAGTGTGTCCTAGGAACCCTGCTCTGTGATATTCTTACAGCCTCACAAGGTAGGGGGGTTGTGCCCAAGTTACAGGAGGAGAAACAGCTCAGATGAGCAGAGCTGAGATTCAGACCCAGGAGGTGTGGTCTCTTGAGGCCCACGTTCTTCTGTGTGGGTGACATTTGCACTTTTTTAAATTACAAAAGACTTTACCACGCAAAACAGTATAATAGTGTGACAAGGACCCATGAACCCACTACTCAGCTTAAAAAGTAAAGTGACCTAAAACTAAGAGAAAAGAAGCCACCTGTGTACCCACCCCCAGAGGGAACCCCTCTCGCGAGTGGGATGTCACTCCCCTGCATGGGTTCACCCCTTTCCTGAAAACACGTGTCCCTAAACAGCACATGTTGTTTTGCCTTTTGAAAACAAGTCAGCTAGATCCTGCCACAGTCCATTTCTTCTCATTTTTTTGTTGGTCCTGAGATGCAGCCCTGTTGACAAGTGAAGCTCGGACTCCTGCTGTGTGCTACTTTATTGACAACCAATACTTTGGCCACCTGATGCAAAGAGCTGACCCACTGGAAAAGACTGATGCTGGGAGAGGAAAGGGATGACATAGAGGACGAGATGGTTGGATGGCATCACCGACTCAATGGACATGAGTTTGAGCAAACTCCAAGAGATGGTGAAGGACAGGGAAGCCTGGCGTGCTGCAGTCCATGGGGTCGCAAAGAGTCAGACATGACTGAGCGACTATAAACAACAACCAGCAACCCACTCCAGTATTGTTGCCTGGACAACCCCACAGACAGAGGAGTCTGATGGGCTACAGTCTATAGGGTCGCAAGAGTCAGACATGACTTAGCAACTAAACCACCACCACCATCAGTTCAGTTCACTTCAGTTGCTCAGTCGTGTCTGACTCTTTGCAACCCCCATGGACTGCAGCACGCCAAGCCTCCCTGTCCATCACCAACTCCCGGAATTTACCTAAACTCATGTCCATTGAGTCGGTGATGCCATCCAACCATCTGATCCTCTGTCGNACTTTCCGCCATAAGGGTGGTGTCATCTGCATACCTGTGGTTATTGATATTTCTCCCAGCAATCTTGATTCCAGCTTGTGCTTCATCCAGCCCAGCATTTCTCATGATGTAATTTTTTAGTTTGGGGGGATGCTTGAACTCTGCATATAAGTTAAATAAGCAGCGTGACAATATACAGCCTTGATGTACTCCTTAACATAGCTCAATGTATACATTCATTCTCCTATAAAGGAGTTTCTCATCTGTTTCCCAGTTTTGGCTACCAAAAATCTCCCTGCCATGAATTTCTTCCTAGGTGTCCCCTTATGTGTGTGTGTCTTATATGTGTGTGCACATGTGTGACATGGTCCCCTAACAGCTCACAAACAAACATCTCAACAACTTCATATCATTTCACTCCCCCACCCCTCAGGCTTCATTTCCCTCCCAGTTGACCTAAAATGATGTTCAAAAGCAACCTGGGCACACGTAAGTGACTTGGAATCCCAGCTCCACCACCAGGCTGTGTAACACTGAGCAAGTGACAGATGGCATCCCCTCTCTGCGATGGCCTCAGTTTCTGCCCCTTTAAATTGGTGGGGGGCAGGGGCAGTAAGTGGCCTACCCTGCTGACTTGTGGTGGAAATGAAAAAACACCAGGAAAGAGCCCATTGTGGACCTTGGATGTCAGGAATATCATCTTAAGTCACAGCACCAGGGAAATATTTTCATCCTCATCTCTTGGATTAAAAATGCTGAACCTCAGGGACTTCCCCGGTGGTCCAGTGGCTAAGACTCCATGCTCCCAATGCAGGGGACCCGGGTTCAATCCCTGGTCAGGGAACTAG